GGGGTTTCTGGGTTCGATGCCCTAAACCCTGAACCCCATACCCTAAACCCTAAACCCTAAACCCGAAACCTCTAAACCCCTAGACCCTAAAACCCTAAAAGCCTAAAGCCCTAAACCCCTAAATTCTTGTTATTTAAGTTTCAGGTTGGATCTTCTGGGGTTCGTATTGAGCTACTCGCGCTCTCCGCATGCAAGAGTATCTCCGTTTCCAGCCGGTTTCGTGATATTGGAAGCCGGTATCCGCAGGCCCGGAACGATATCCGGCCTCCTTCCGACCACGCTGCCACATCTTCTGCGGCTCACGCTCGCTGGCGTTCGAGGCCCGAGGTAGGACACTTGTGCATAGAACCGGAGCCCTTTTGATCTAGGGTTGCCTCAGTCCCCTTACAGGTTTTTGTACATGGGGCCTGGGGATAGACTCTTACAGCGAGCGTAATATCGCTTTGCAAAGAGGTTGAGAACATCTTGACAGCGCGGGATTTACAGGAACACTCTTGCAGTAGCCCATATCAGTTGACTCTTAGGTCCCCAAATCGAATCTCACCGTGCAGCCAGAGCCCCCCTCAGCCCTGAGCCATCGAGCCTCACGAAGAGTCGAATCTATCATGGAAGACCACCCAGCCTGCTCGCGTGTGGATCTCAAGAAGGGGACCTAAAGACCTTTGCCGTAGCTGTGGCCGAGGCCCGAACCCTCCAACCCTGGGCGCGAAAAATCCAAGCCTCAGGCCCTATACTAGCAAACACTCCACAACCTACACAAAAGCCTGTCGCCAACACTCCAATGGCATACCGGCCTTTTTCCTGTCACAGATTCGAGGGAACCGTATTGTGACCCTAAACCCTAAACCCCCCAAAAAGGGTTACTCAGCATTTCTGCCCACTTCCATCTCCGACGCAGGGTACAGCCGCAACAGCGCCCAGCCCCGACAGTTTCAAAGCGCACGCACTCGCTTTGCGCCTTCTCAGGATGGCTTGCCGAACTACTTGGACGACTGCCGCACTCCGCTGTCGATCTCTGACCCTGCAGCCGCACAGCGGGTGCTGAATCGTAGATAGACTGTAGCATCGCACACTACGGCATAGTGCATTCCGCAGGAATGTTTAGGCCTCCCTGAAGCCCCCAAACCCTTCGGAAGAACAGTTGCACTGTATGCCTTCCTGTTGTGGTCGACATACCACCGCCGACATCGCCACCACGACGACGACAACGACGACGAATTCGAGCAGGAGGAGGTGGAGGAGGAGCAAGATAAGCAGGAGTAGGAGGATGCGCAGGAGTAGCAGCTAGGCTCAGATAGTTGGAGTAGCAAGAGGATGAGAAGGAGAAGGAGGAGGAGGAGGACAAGTAGTCTAGGACTCATCAGTGGATGAGACAACTGGAACGGCAAATCTTTGTAGTTCGGCCTTAGCTTTCAAGCAACAGCCCTTCTAAGCTCACCGTCATTTGAGGATTACCTCCTGGACATTGCACCTCACCTGGACGGGCACAGCTACAAGGGCCAGTCAGGACTGTGAGTAAGGCAGTCTTCCCTTGCCCTGCGGGGCTCGAGGGTGGTAGTTTTGCGCAGCCGGCGCGTGGTTGAGGGTTCTGGTCCAGGACATTTTCAGGTGGGTAGTTACCATTATAGGAGCCTGAAAGAAGGTCTATATACCTTATAGACTTGTATAAGCCTTATAGAAGCCCCCTAAACTCCCCACCTGTAGTTTCCTTTAATCTGGTTTGTTTTTCATTGCGGAACTTGCCCTGACCGAAGATTAGAGGCGAGTTCATGTTCGCGTGCAGTTCTACAGGATGCGACATGGCCAAAGTTTTACGCTAGTCTTCTCTGTCGTATGCCCATGCTCATTCGCACTTTCACGCATTCCGTAACCTAGTGACATCACCGTTTCTCTGTTTAGAGTTCAGGAGCCGGCGGTGCGGAACCCCCACAGCCTGAGATTTGTGCTTTTGTTTGGGCTTCGTCGTTCATTCGACTTCTGCTGCAAGTTTCTGACGTTATGTATGACACCTTTCAAAGCATAGTAGACTTACCCCCTGAACCCTGACCGCTAACTTCCAAACCCTCAATCCTGTTCGCAAGACCCTAAACCCTTCTCGTCTGCGTTTGAAGCCTTCCCAACTTTTTCGATGCCTGTTTGGGTTTAGTCTAGTTTAGTCGTCTTCACTACCATGGCCGTTGACGTGGGCTCCTCTAATCTGTTACAGTCGACTTCCGCCTCTCTCGTGGAGGCTGGTGTTACTTCGGGCGTATAGGGCGTATAGGGCACCCTGAAAGTGTAGCCTAAACCCTAAACCCTAA